AAAAAAAAGGTACTCTGCAATCCAAACCCCTACCCAAGGAAATTAATGGTATGTCCAAATCCAACAGCCCAAGTCACAACCCACATGCATAACAATATATAGAGATAAAAAAATGTATTTTGAAATCGAATTGCATTAAATTGCAAGACATTAATAATTAAATTTGGAAAAACTTATGACATTACGGAAAGACCTCTCTTAATTTTCCTTTTTTTTGAACATTTTTGTTATGAGCTGGCTCAAACCGTTGCCTTGAGAAAGAATATGAACCTTATAAACATGACTAAAGCCACACCTCTCTTAATTTAAAAACTTGTGTTTTATGATCAGCACTGCAAAACACCAGACTCAAAGAAATAAGAAAAAAAAAAATGAAGATAGAAGTGTACCCTTTGCTTCATTCCCGACGATGTTAAAATTCCGCGTCTCTTTGACAATATAATAGGAGACTTCTTCCACCGGCGGCAGTGTTGTGGCTTGCCATTATTCTTCTTCGGCCCTCCCTGCAGAGCAGATACAGGTAACCTATGAATTCCGAGACATCATATTCATCCTTTGGCCTCCTCTAAATGATTCCCTAACGAAATGCAAAGGCAAATGGAGACTTAATTTGCTTCCCAAACCAATGGAGGAGGAAGAATTTATATTTCGATGCGCCCACTCATGGAGATCGAACGAGTATATAACGTGATCCCAACAAGGGAACGCCAAGATTCGCAGTTTTCATCTTGAATTTCCATTTGAACGTTTATTATTCAATTTAGACGTTCGATAACAGCGAGGACATCGCAAGGTTCCGAGATGAATCGCGCGTCAAGTTTGCCCCTCTTTTTCCTCAACAACCCGTACCTAACGGATATATTTCTTACAGTGTCAAAGATGCATTTATTGCATTTTTCTTAATTATTACAAAAAAAAAAATAAAAGTTAATTTTTATTTTATTTAGAACGGGCAAAAAAATTTGCAATCGAGAAAAAAAATTCAAAAAGTGATGAACTCCCACTACTAGAATTCACAGCATCACCGAGAAAAAACCATGTCAGAAAACAAAGGGGATCTTGTCGGTAAGAAAAAACATTTTCAACAAGAATCATGTCGGTGATAGTTGTGTTGGTAAAAGAACATTTTCAACAAGAATCATGTTGGTGTAAGTCTGCTCGGTAATCAATTTATCGACGTGACTTAAATTCACATCAGTAAATTCCTTTAAATTATTGACAAAAAGCATGTCTTTAATTGACTGTCGGAGCTCATTCCAAGTGAGTTCATTCCAAGTGAGTCACATCGGTAAATTCCTTTAAATTATTGACAAAAAACATGTCTTTAATTGACTGCCGGAGCTCATTCCAAGTGAGTCATGTCGGTAAATTACCAACGAAATATATCTTTGTAAATATTCACTAACAAAGTACAGCTAAAAACTAGATATTCATTTACTGACAAGAACTTTATCTGAAACTTAAATTAGTAATTTGCAAAATAATTAATAATTTATGTATGAAAATTGTCACTGACCAAATTGTGATTTGAACCAAATCTTAATTTACCGATAAAACAGTAATCG